TATTTTCCACTTGACTTTTCTTATGGAAGCAGGACAAGAAAATCAAAATCACAAATTATAGAAATTATTATAGATATCACCTGAGTAGCTACAAATGTAATTGAAACGAATACCTACAGCCCGCTTGGCATCTGGGAATTAATCCTAGAACGGTGACAATGAGAATCGGCAACACCGACTCACGAAATGCCCGTTGACGCATATTCCTCTTCGTACCACTGAGTCAAGGTTCGCCTGGAGTTCCGAGAGCTTCTTGGATTATTTCAGGTTTTGTCCCCGTCTACGTGCGTGCGGCAAGCCTGTTCCATGCACTGACCGTGGAGTGTATTTGAGTCCGCAGCCTGACAAACTGTAGAAATTGCCTATGAATTAACAAGGACACCTGTTGAATAGTCACAATCTGACTCCATCATTCCATTGAAATATTAGTCTGTTATTGAACTCGTGCCCAACAGCCCGATCATTCGTGTTGCTATTGTTAAGACACCACAATAAATGTAGTCTTTTATCCCTGATTCCCTGAATGCATTCGTACCGTGAATGTCACACAATTGGACCCAAAGGCAGACCCAGAACCAAATTTTCGGAGCGGGGGAAGAGGGCTCGGGTATTTATTTTTTTTCAACATGGGGAAAGGGATAAAGTATAGAATATCGTGCGCTAGTACCACAATATAATATTAAAACTAAAAGGTGTGTCGTTGATGGCTTGCGAGGGCGATAAGCAAAGTTTTAATAAGTTATTTCTTGAAAATAGCTTTTAAAAACATCTTTTGATTCGGGGGCAATGACCCGGTTGCCCCTCCCCGCCCCCAATCGGGATTTGCCAGTGATTGAAGTGCAAACGATTCAACTACTGCAATACTGTCAAACTGCAAGAGAAATAAGAACTAGGCTTTCACTCATCTACCAGGACAATATAATTATTAACGGAAGCAACCGGTGTGAAGCGATGAAACATTCCAGTTTCTGTAAGATTTGAAGGATTATGACATTATTGGCGTTCTCACTTCACTTCAACGCGATAATGCCTTCATCCAGACGATTTGCAAACACGTATAGTACCTTCAGTTCATCATCATCATCATCAGGCTGTGGTCATCCATTGTTGGATGAAGCCCTCAAGCAGTTTCCATTCTCTTCTGTTTGTCATTCTACTCCATAGGCCTATTGCCGTGTTCATATATGTGGTGATTTCATCTCGCCATCTCCTTTTTGTGTCTACCTCTTCTTCTTCTGCCTGTCCTTCGTTGCCATAATTCTGTGGGTCTCTTGGTCCATCTGTTGTCTTGTCTTCTTGCTAAGTGCCCTGCCATCTCCATTTCATTTCCTTGATCTTCTCTATGATATCCTTGATTTTTGTTTTTTGTCATATGAAGATATTTCTGATTTTGTCCTGCAATGATAGATTGATCATTCTCCTTTCCATAGCTCTCTGCCTCTTAATGTGAAGGTCATTGTCCATGACCTTCATAATTATTAAGAGTCCTCAAATGCAGTGGCGTAAGAAAGGTAGGTGGGGACACGCCCCCTCCCCTCGGAGCTTATAACCCCCTAGACACCCCCCCCCCCCCCCCCACACACACACACCCACACATATACTGGTATAACATGTACATGTGTGTATACCGGTATAACATGTACATACACTATGCATTTTGGGGATGTGCATGAGCTTCTGGTTTGATCTTTTAGTTTATGGGCCGGGTTGGAGTAGGGATGGGGTGGGGGATAGGGTTGGAGTTAGGGTTTGTGTGAGTAGGATGAGTAGGGGAGCTAGGATGGGTGGGGCAGGGCGGGTTGGGGTGGGGTGGGGTGGGGAGAGGGGTTGGAATACTGGGTTTGGGTGGGTGGGGATTTGTAGGGGTGGGGTGGGAACAGGTAGGGAGAGACAGGTAGGGGAGACAGGTAGGGAGAGGATGGGCATGGATGTAGGGGTTGGGTTAGGAGGGGGTTGGGCAGGGGGCGGGATATAGGATCGGAGTAGGGGTTGGGTTGCCATGTAGGGATGGGTTGTTGTAGGGGTTGGATAAGGGGAGGGGCAGTATATAGGGATCAGAGTAGGGGTTGCATGGGGTCAGTAGGGGATGTACCCATGGGTGGGGGAATGGGGTGGGTG